GCCAAGGGGAAACTGAGAGGACTCGTTCTTGACGTCCCGCAGAGAGAGGGGGGGCGACTTGGGACCATTCTGTTCGAACGACATGCTTCGCTGGCTAGGAGAGCGCGTAGGCAACGTCTGGGACTTTTTCAGGGTCGGAGTGCCGTTTGGTGCCATATTCAACCCCGTCTTGTCAGAAGCCGAGCGTATCATTTGCCTGCGCGGATCTTCCTCGATGGGCTCTGGCTCGGGCTCGTACTGGTCAGAGTATTGACCCAGCATGCTCATGCGTTGGTCGTAGTTGTCGTCTCCGTAGAGGGTCCCAATAGCCTCAGTCACATGGTGACTGGGGTCTGAAATTGACAGCTGGCTGGCATGACCGCGTCGACTCGCAAAGCTGCCACCAACATCGGCGCGGGGTCTAGATGAGGTCTGCATAAGGGGCAACGGGTTAGCGACGACTGTGATATGGAAGAGGAGCGCAGAGCCACGAGCCGGAGCGGCCGAGACTGCCGTCAGGTGGTGAAGATGGAGAGCAAGTGACAAAAAGTCTGGACGACAATCAAGGAGCCTCCAAAGTGCTGAGTATCGGAGCGAGGGTTCGTGGTAGTGGGCGACGCACCATCATCTAGAAAAGTGAAAGACCCGCAGGGAGGCCGAAAAGCCAGCGATTCCCTTGAAAACACCACTTGTCTGGCAAGTATCTCGTTCTGAAAGAGTTTGTCGGCAAGCTCTCATCTGTCTGGGGTAGGTGGTAGCATAGGCGCGGCGAGACTCGGGGAGGAAACGAGGGTCGAGGGGGCGAGTTGTTGTTGCGGGTTGGGATACAGATACATGTATCTATTCCAAGGTTGGTCGCGGTGGTCGGGATCGCATGCGAGGGTTTATTGGAGCGGTGCGCAGGTGCCCGGGGTGTACGTGACTGGCGATAAGGATGGAAAGACTGGAGTAGTCGACCGTTGCGAACGAGAGAAAAAGCAAGCGGTAAAAGACTGTTGGGAGCGCGGAATAGGCGAGGACAAGGACAGAACAGGCCAGGACGGGGCACGTCGTCACGGCGGGTAGACGGTTGGCGTGCTGCTGCTGTGCTTGTTGTGGTTGTGTTGTAGGAGGTAATAGTAGCAATAGCACTGGCCGTGGCAGCAGGAACCGTAAGTGGTGGTGGTGGTGGAGGATGTAATGAATGGTGGTTGGCGGTTGTCTAGTTTTTGGTGGTGGCCTCCATAGGTCTAGGTACGGATACAAAGTAGGTAGGTAGGTACGAACGACGAGATGGTAGTAGATGCCCAGTCCCTTGCCGACCGCTGCTTGTTGTTCCGCCGTCCAGTCTTTTTTGGGTTTTCGGGGCCTTGGGACTTGACTTTGGGGTCCAGGTGGTGGTAGGAAATGTCTTGGGAGAATGGGATTGGGATTTCCGTTCGGGCAGTGCAGGCGCTGGTGCAAGTCAATTCCACCACCCCCTACTGCCGGTGAATGTACTCGGAGAACGGACAGAAGACACAGAGCGAGCGAGAACGATGGACAGGCCGGGAAAGCGGCGCTACCAAGGTCGAGGTCACGTCGTGGAGATCAGGTACTTGGGCCGCCAGGTAGCTGGATACCTTCTGCAAATAGGTACTCGCGCCAGAGGGCCAGACCGACCCCTGACGATGGGCGGTCGCGGGCTGTCGCGGGTAGGCGGTCTGCTGGGACCAACCAGATGGAGGCAGCGGGCAACAAGTACCGAGTACAAGCCAATGGCAGCGTCAGGCATGTACTCCAGCGTGAGGAGCGCCACCCAGACTGCATTAGCGCAATCAAACTGGGTGCTCGCTGCTTTGCAAAGCGGCCAGTCAAAGTGGTCTGCCGCGAATGGGCGCCTCCCTGTCACGTGCCCTGTCTGCCTGCTACTGGTCCGTCACTCGTCACTGCTGCCTCTGCCATCTGGTGAAGGTACTTTTTGCAAGTGCGTGCTCGTCCTGGTTTTTGAGTTGGTCTTGGGGAATGACTAGCAGGGCCGGCACTAAGGAATACCTTAGTACAGATTGATAGCGCGCCATGGAACAGGGAGAGAAGACCAACAGAGCAGAGCAGTCTTGGTCCTTCTTCTGCCTGCTTTCTTTTTTCCTTTTTTTTTATGAATCGATAGAGGCCATGGCGCGAACCGAGGAACGAAAGAGGAAGGAAGGACGGCGGGAAGGGATGCAGACGCTTGAAGCAAGCAAGCACTCCCACGCTGGAGACGAACGACGAATTGCCTTTCACTCATGCAGCTGGCACATTGCAGTCAGTCAGGCACCGGCTCAGGTACACCACATTGATTGATGGACTGCCCTCCTCGGGTCTGTGGCCTGAGCTAAATCCGTACCGTCCGTTCCCTTACGTACATCATGGGGACAGAGCCCCCTGGCTGCGGCTTGCGAACTGACTGGCTGCCGTTATGCCATGCCCATGGAGAACATGCAAAAGCGAACGAAGGAACCGGGGGCCGCCAGTGACACGACACGACAAGACACGACGCGCGACAGTCATCAACGGAACATGACTGACAACCGCTGCCTCATTTAAAAGAACTTCGTACCGCACATTACGCTCCCAAGCCAAGACCACACTGACACCGGATGACGAGGCAAATCAACTGCCTCCGGCTGACTCTACTCTGAAAGCCAGATGGCGACCCCAGGGTTCGGATATTTGAGTGGGCGGCGGTGGTGGTGTTGGCATGGATGATGCACCGCACAAGTCGTTCCATCAACGCCGTCAAAAGAAGAGACCAGAGGAACTCTGCTTGCACAATCCGGCGCTCGGCCGTGAAACAAGAAAACGAGATACGAAGTCTACACTTTTTCTGCACGCGTCCTTCTCTAACCTGAGCTGAATCCGAAGCTGCTCTCTCCCCAAAGCATCTCTCGCGCCCCTCACTACCACGACCAACTTCTGGCCCGCGCAAGGGACACCCGACCAAAGAAAAGAAGCTCATGATGTGCAACCGGGACCAACGTCACTGGTCCTCTATTTGCGGAAGCTTCTGCCATGTATCAAGTCCCGACTTAGCCTCTGCGGCGACGCATGGAATCGATGCCTCTCTTCAGCCGATATCTCTGATGGCACCGCTTTCTCGCCTTTCGGCCCAGCTCTTGGTCGCCCATCGAAATGACATCGAAACAGCATCGGGTGTCGCTGCGGGCTGCTACCGAGAATCGAGACTAACGCGGCCCCCATTGGTGCCAAACATACGGGGTCCATCCCAGACCACCAACCTGGCCCGAGGCAACCCCCCAGAATAACTCGTCGCTTTATGCCAGGGAACAGCACCTTTCTCCTCAGCCAAGGACGTGCCTCCTCTTCATCATCGGGTGCTGCCCGCGGATTGACTGGCGTGACTGGTCGAGTTCGGAGTGGGAGGAGTCACTCGCCGCCAGCGCAGTCTTCCGAATCGAAGGGTTCCTTGAATTCCTCGACTTCTCCGGGGCTTGAGGCTCGAGGAATGTTACCCACAGGCATGCTGGGTCTGATGGTCGACCCCGGTGTTCCATGTCCTTCTCGAAGAATTGCACGCTGGGGCGGAACTGGAGACGAGGGGCTGGAGGCTTCACGCCAGCGCGCTGAAGACTGGCCACCTCTTGGCCTGTGGACGTGGTGGTGGCCCGACGGCCATGTCACCAGTCACCGCCTCGGGCCCCTATTCACCACCGGCGCTGCCGGCCGTCGTCTCCGTACCCTCGGGGTCATCTCCCAGACTCCCACTTTCGCCCCTTGAGCCCCTTTGCGACCTTGGGCCCGGGGGTCTCTTTTGATTTCAAGGCCTAACCAGCCCTGTATCCACTGCGCCAGCCCAGGCCGACCTGAATCGGTAATCTCATTTTAAACACCGAGGCCTCTTCCACTGAGGTGGTCTCTGAGTGCACAACCTCCCGTCTTTTATCCGCATACTATGAGGTGCCCGCCCCTGTTCGCCATTGCATCCAACGGCGAAGCGCCCTAGCCGGCTCTGAAAAGACCAACTTGTGGAACAGCCAACCAGAGGCCGCCCAGCTGCGATCGCAGCGTTGCATGCGGCATGCCATCCCATCCATCTGCCGCCTGCTGTCCGCTATTGATAAAGACCCGGCACCGGTCGCCGCCCGTCGACCGTTGGCCGCCGCTGGGTACTGCCATCACGACCACGACCGGGTGTTGTGCGTCGTTCAACGACGAGCGGATTTCATAACCTCGGAACATCTCCTGTCGTCATCTTCTTCGCCTCCGTCATCACGTCCTGCACGCAGAAATCCCTCAATGACTCAAAAGTTTGCAATCATGCTTCGTCGTGTGTGCATGTTCCAGCGCGCGCAAGTGCCGTCGATCCAGCGATCAACCACCCCAACTCTCGCAGAATCCCAAATCCATGTGCCAGGCTGCGCTGGGTTGGCGTCAGTATCTGACTGTCGTCGAAAGGACGGATGCTCCCAAATAACAACACCAGACCAAAGAATCGCTCACACGCAAGACAAGTGACGGCTCGACCAAGTGGTGTGTGGCTTGATACCCCAAATGCTCACCCTCACAGATGCAACGCCCAGGGTCTGCGGTCTTCCTTGCATGCCAATCGGTCCATTCGGCGTATCGTTGGACGGCATATGCTGAACGATACAGACAGCCACTGGATGTGGCGGATTAAGAGTTGAAGGGGGGACAGAAGGTGGTCTGGCCTCGGCCTTGCATTGGTCATCCAGCGCGATCGACACTTCAGAGCACCTCAGAGTTCCCCGCGCCGCCACACCATCTCTGGAGCGCACGGGAGGCCTTGGCCAGGCTGACGTTGGCTGGAGCAGTCTGGGTGTGGTGTGGCAGCTCCTGGCAGCTCCAAGCAGCAGAGCACCGCACCGCACCGCAACGCAAAGCACCATACATACTTCGTCATCACACCTCTCAAACACCCAGAATTGCGCAGCACAACCCATATCTGCATGGACGTCGCACGCACTGAAAAGAATGCCATGACTACGGATCCCAGTCAAATGGCTTTCCGAGCCGTTACGCACTGGCTTCAAAGTCAGACTATGCCGGTATTCTACTGCACCACGCCGGCATTCCGCCTTCGAATGCCCTCAGAGCTGCTCAACGCTGACCCGCCACTATTACAGAGCCAACTGAGCAAGGTGCTAAGCCAACAAAAGCAACCTCAGCCGTCCCAGCAGGCAATACAATCGTCGCAGCTCAATAACGACGAAAAGGAAAGTCACGACAGCGCGAGGGGCGCCTCATCGACGAACCTGTGGACGAAACCGCTGCCCCAGCTTCCGCCCCCAAACATGTCCCTGTCCGGGAAAGTCGCCCTCGTCACCGGCGGCGCGCGAGGCATCGGAGCTGCCATCGCGCTGAAGCTTGCCCGGGAAGGTGCCAGAGTGCGTCTACCGATTCCACTCTTCTCGCTCGCAGTGTGAACAGCGGCTAAAGTTAGTTATATCATTCGCGCGAGTAAAGGTCGCATTCACCTTTGTCAATACTTCATCAATAGCCAAGGCGCATGAGGTCATATCCGAGATCGAGGCCTGCGGGTCCTCCGCCACGGCCATCCAGGCCGACGTCTCCAAGCACCAGGAAAAGGTCGTCAAGCGCGCCATGATGGCCTTTGGCGTCACCAAGATTGACATTCTCGTCAATAATGCCGCGGCGACGCTCACCGCGACCCTCGACGACACCAGCCCCGAGGACTACGACCGCATCTTCAACACCAATACCCGCGCTGTCTTCTTCATGATGCAGGCCGCAAAGGCCCACATAGCCCCGGGCGGGCGCATCATCAACATCTCCTCCGTGGCGGCCCGCGCCGACACCCCGGGCAGCATGGCCTACGCCGGCAGCAAAGCGGCCGTCGAGGCCTTCACGCGCGTCGCCGCCCGCGAGATGGGCCAGGCGCACGGCGTCACGGTCAACTGCATCAGCCCCGGGACCGTCAAGACGGAGATGTTCGACTCGCTGCCCGACGACCAGCGCAGCGCGGACCTGGAGCGGGCGACGCTCACGCCCGCGGAGGCGCGGCTGGGCGCCGTCGAAGACATTGCTGACGTTGTCGCCTTCGTGGCGAGCGATGAGTCCAGGTGGATTACGGGCACGGTCATCCCCGTCAACGGGGGCCGACTGATGAACTGACGAAGAGCAAAGGTGACTACATGCAAACGACGTTACGGCGGACCGACAGCTTATTTATGGGATTCCATTTCCTCTTCTGAACGACAAGGGTTGGTTGGGCTGGGGGTTGTTGTTACGGGTACAAAAAGTGTAAGATGTGAGTCTGAGACATTTCGGGTTCTTTTCTGGCAGGCGGGTCTTCGGTTTGTGTCATGGGATTCACCGGCCAGGTTGGGAATGCAGTCGGGAAACAAAGCCATGCAGTGTTACATACGGCTGGAATGTGTAGGATTCCCTGTGTCGGTCTTTACGATATCTACGGTTCTCCCTTTTTTTTTTTCCTTTTTTCTTATGTTTACGCCCTTCCGTACACGGCTGGAAGCTAGCATCAATACCATTTCATGATGTTCTGTTTGGAGTTTCGTTCCAGGCGGGGCCTCCCGTGTTTGGTTTCTGTCTGGTAATGGACGGCTGAAGTCTGTTTCGGTAATCAGCGAGAACTCCTCTGAGGGCCGCAAGAATCTGCATCTTCACCAAAGCCTTGTTATTTTCCGGACGAGAAGTCTACTGAGACAGTCATGTCACACGCGGCCCTCGTAGTATCTCGACAGCATGCAACCCTCAGACCCAAGACAGGGAGGCGGAACCCAGGTGTCATGCCCCAGACCCACGACGATCTGCTGCATGCATGCAGGCAGGCAGATAGATGTAAACTATTCTGACGTGCGTCCTCATCTTGTCTTTCCTGGGCACAAACATAACCCCCAGATCTGATTATTCAGGTGTGCCACCCAACTTTCCGAGCTTACCTCAAGCCGCCACCTGAACAGAAGGAGGTTGTACAGATGCTTACACAAAAGGACGTAATTTGACTCGGAGCAGGTCCTCGATATCTATTTCTAGTTCCGGGCAACTGCCTTTCTGCCTTTATTCCGTGGTAAAGAAGTAGCAAAGAAAAGTGACAAGACGAATCTGCCTTATTCTCCCTAAACACCACGCCATCTTTCAGCATGAGTCTGGCCATCTAGGTGCTCTCTCTCTCGCCTCCACGCCTCAATAATAAGCCATCACCGTGAACCCCTTCACGCCCAGCCCGACATCGAGGCGTATCCCCCCCATCCACCCTGACATCGGGCACGAAAGGGACAGTACTATATAGCCCCCTCCAGTGCCCCAAATCCGCAACAAAAATCAGGACCCTGCTCCTCTACCCTTTAGGGCGTTCGACTTGGCCTGGCCGTAGTGGCGAAAGGCCTTGCTTGCTGGGTTGGCAGCAAAGGCACATGCCGCCGGGCCCGGTCGTTCGAATCAGGCTCGGTCCAACCGCCGGGCAACCTTTTTTACCCCTTTTTGTTTTGGTCATCTCTTTTGACAGCCACGAGTTCTGTGTATCGGAACGTCTAGTGTGAGCAGACAGACTGTCGAGGAAACGACGATGTAGCAGACCGAAAGAATTCAAAATTTGTGGCGGTTGGGCTATTGTCACCGAGAGTAAGCAACCAATAGGTCAACAACGTCGTCGCATGTCAGGGCGATCGTTAGTTTGCCAATACGAATGGAATACATACTACTACCGACACCAGAGAACTATCTTACACGAATTGGATCCTCAAGAGAAACTTGCCGGAGATAATGTTACGATTAGGTTGATTAGAGACTAAGATCCTGTTGTTTATATGTAGGGCGGAGTTGGGTATCATAATTGTGTGTTCCAACGGGCAATGATCAAGACTCCAGAATACGCGCCAACTCCCTGAAACGCAATTTGAAAGTGTGGACGGCACTGGTCAACCGTGCCCTCTAAGCTGATGTTGTCGATCGCCGCCAAATCATGAACGCGGCAATGCCAGCACACGCCGTAGCGCCCAGCGCGAGGTACAGACTGGTTCTATCTGGAGGCGGCTCCTCGCTCCTCGGGAAAGCGGTGCTAGGGTTGGTTGCCGCGTCCGCCAAGGCGATGAAGAGCTCGCTGATGTTGTTCCACTTGACGGTGACGTGAAGCGGAGTGCTCATCATGAGGTTCGACGTGTACATGTCCGGCTGCATCTCGCTGCGCTGCATCGTCTTGTCCTTGTCCGCCTTCAAGGCGGTGTAGATGTTGGGGAGTTCGTCAAGCTGCGGGTAGCGTTTGCGCAGCTCGACAATGTGCGAGAATGAGTCGGGATCCGACGAGTCGTACGCGTAGCAAATCAGGTCGCAGGCGTCAAGCTTGGCCTGGTTTTCTAGAATGGCAGGCTCCAACTCGCCGAGCTCTTCGAGAATCATGTAGCACTGCTTTCCGCCCGGAAGCTCAACGCTGTTAACAGCCCGTCGTGGCTTAATCGTGGGCCGATATAGGTTGTCAAAAGGGCGGCTCAGGAACGCATCCAACAGCGACGACTTGCCAGCCCCAGAGGCACCGAGGACGTAGCAAAGCACCACGTTGCGCTCGACCTTACCCGGGCGCCGTCTGCGCTTGCGTGACTTGGTGACTTTGAGAGCAGCGGTGGTTGTCTCGCGTGGGTTTGCAGGCTCAAAGCCCAGATACGCAAGATACTCAAGCGTCGTCTTGGGCTCCATGAACGTCGTCATACTCCACTGTGCGAGCCACCCTTGCAGAGTGACGTGCCCTGCCTCGTTACGTACAGTTGAAGATGGGAACGACGTCTCAACCCAGGAAACAGGAAGTCCGGGTGTAGGTGCGAAGAGGGCTTCCAGCTCCTTGTCGTTCAAGCCACCGTCGTTGTCCTTATCGAACAGCAAGAAAAGGTCCACAAAGAAGCGGTAGCCTGCAGGGCTCAGCTCTGCCGAAGAGTACTCTGGCACATCAAACTTGGGGCGCAAGAAGCTGTCCTCTAGGCTCAAGCTGTCTGTATAGCGGAACTTGCGCAAGATGATCCATATCGTCTCGTGGCGGCCCTTCTCGGCGTAAATCTTGTTCAGCTGCAAAAAGCCTCTCTGGTCTATGCCCTTCTCTGCCGACCAAGGCGACAGTGTCTTCGTGATGGAAAGCTTGATGTTCTCGAGATCCTCGGCGGTCAACGGCTTATCGAAGCACCTGGCCTGGAACTCGTGCATCTCCTGGTCATTGAGGAAGCCATCCTGGTCCTTGTCACAAAGGTAGAAAATGCGCTTCAATGCATCAACGCAGTTGGGCTTGAGGTTCCCCTCTTTGTAGTCGAATAGCGGGGCGATGGGGTGGGTGACGGCCTTCTGACACAGGAAGAAAACTTCGTTGACATTCCGGTGCTCTCTCGCGCTCGACCTGATGCACGAGTCGATCTCGCGGAACTCGGCCATGACGGGCAGCATCTCGCCCTCGACCACCTGAGGTGTGTTTCCATCTCCAGTCAAGTCGGACTTGTTCGCACAGAGAACGACCGGGACATTGACGCCGAGGGATCGGAAGTAGGGCATCCAGAATAGAGCCACACGCTCGTAGCTGTAGTGGTCGGCGTAGACCAGGAGTATGACGTTGCATTTGCGGATTTCTTTCCTCAACGTGGTGCGGTTCTGAGGCAGGGCGGAGGTATCGACGATGGTGGTGGTAACGTTTTCGGGGGTCCCGAGCTGGGGAGGAATGGTGATGGAGGGGAGGACGGCCTGGATCTTGTTGGAGATGAAGACGTCCTTGACCAGCGAGGCGATGAGGCTGGACTTTCCGGTGCCCTCGTCACCGCAAACGCAGATTCGTACTAGATGGAGGCAAGGCAAGTCAGTTCCAAGCTCGGAGACAAACTGTTGAGGTCGGGCAGAGCTGTTCGTCAGGCCACCTACCAGAAGCCATGTTCGTGATCGTTGAAGCTTAATCAGAGACAGAGAGAAAGCTTTATTGCGATGCCATGGCAGGGCGGTCTCAGAATGCTGTTGGAAGAGACTCGGGCGCACACGGCGATGGATGCTAGAAGCTCGAGGCTTGTGTGTACGATCGGTCGTGAGGAGTGCGGTGGTGGCTTTCTTCGGTTGAAGCAATGGAATGTAATCCGGGAAGCTCTGAGGCGGGTAGGACGGGAATCTGCAGGTTGACGGGGGTAGAGTTCGAATGACGACCTTAATTGCAAGGATGACTCTGGTGGGGGACAGCTGGAAAGGTGCTGCTGGTACCTTAAGGGATCGGTTAAGGTAGCGGCACCAGCGCCTTCGGGGATGCAGGACCCACCCGAGAGAGCACCCGATCAGCGGATCAGCGCTGTGCGGTGCCTTGATAAGCGACCGATGTCCAATCCAGCGGGCTCAGTGCAGCACGACCCGACAGCAATGTCTTATCGTGCATGACTGTGGAATGTGTGCTTCTTGGTTGGTATCATGATTGGTGCCTTTTGGTGCCTTTTGCTGAAGAATTTGGAAGAAAAGGAGTCCTGAGCAGTTGTTACTCGGGCGGAAGAAGTGAATGAGTTCTCGATAGAGACAACTTTGCAGTGGTTGAGCTAGGGGAGCTTACCTATGTACGCTCACACACAATACATTGTGGACTATGAACTCAACTTCGAATACCTTAATGATCGGTGCACCACCACCACGCACTGTTGATCCGCTTACAACCTCAGCAATGTCTGATACCTATCCAAATCATCTGCTCAACTCCACCTCATGTCCGATGTGTCTCAGTTGAACATATATGTGCTGCATACCCCGTTCCTCGTAATGTCTATTACCACAGTCCTGAGTGGCCAAGCTCACTCAACCACAACTTGGTAGCAAATCTCGGTAACACGTCCCAAGACATATGAGGTGGTGTAGCAGACCAGTTCCAAAGATGCGTGTTTTGATGACGATTAACCCAACAGTCCGTTCTACTGACTGCGCCAATAAAACTGCCAACCCCTCCCCACCTCATGCATCCTGTGCCTGTCCAGTGTCGCTCAGGATGTGAAGCGGCTGTCAATGGCCTCACAGCTGCTTCTCCAGCTTTTTGCTGCCTACCCCACACTTTTGCGCGGCCAGTCACCGAGTCGGACTGACAGCAGGCCGGCCATTGGAACGTGGACTTTTCAATTAAACCCGGGCGTCAGGGACGACTCGCCCGGGCTCTGCAGCGTCAC